CCTCTCATTTCCCATCGAAAACCTATGTAACATGTTTCCTTTAAATGAGACACTTGGGAAAGTAAGTGAGTGGGTGGGCTAGGTTTAACGGTGTCTGAAAAATATTAAGGTTTCACACCCTGCAAGAGCATGTCGAAGGAGAACTCAATGCTTTCGGCTTGCGTGCCAAGATATGGGATGGCAAGCAACAAACGCAGTGTCCCTGTCAGCCGGTCAGTGTTTAGAAACAATATACCAGCCACTTCTTGGCGGGTGTCACTGAGGGTGGTATTCCCTCTGTCTACGGATGTGAGGACTCCAACCGGGGTTTCTTACGTTGAACATCAGGTATTAGAGGTATGTTTACCAGTGAAGACTAGGGTTAGAACTGGTCTTCAGCAGCCGATGCTTGTAAGGGGAGACTAACGGGCTCTGGTGGTCATTTTCGCTAACTTGGTTGACAAATGCTGTTATCACTAGATTGTCTGGTCCAGACTCGATTATTTACAGACCGCCGCCACATAGCTGGAATATTGCTGAGTGCGGCGTTAAACAAACAAACAAACAAACAAAGAGGTATGTTCTGCCACGAAGTCCACACTATGGTGTCACAAATAGTTTACCAAATATTCCGACAGTGATTCAAATCCTCTACACCTGTAACATATCAACTGTTAAAGCTAACTTGTTAACAGGAAGGTCAAAGGCATATAAAAGGAGGGAACACATATGACTCAGCATAATCCCAATTGTGTGCACAAAGTCGCTGACCTCGACAATCAGTTCCACAGTGTACTTTGTTCGGCTGATCATGAAACCTTTCATGTCATGCAGTATACTGGCATCATTGAACTCACCTGTAAATCCATAAACAATATTGACGTTTTTTTCATAATTCATTCCACATTTTGGAGGTTAGAAAAACAAAGTGACTGTTTTAATGTTGAGATATACAACCAGCATCTGAGAGATGTGATCGAGGATGAGCATTTCGAATTGGTCAGATGTGATGTAATATATTTGGCTTATAAATGTTCTCACTACGCGGTCAGCATCTCCAGATCTCCTTAAAATGGAAGAACGTATAGATATTGAGTGCCAGTGCCGACCTGTGTTTTGATATTGCCCAATCTGAAAAAAACAAACAAAAAACAAACCAAAACAACGCCTGCCATAAACACCGTAATAAACCACCCCCACCACAGTCACCTACATAGTCCCTACCCCTTCCACATTCGGCCACTGTTTCAAGACATACGGTTTACTTCTATGGAAAGAGATGCAGACGTTATACGACAGAAGCAGGAATTCCAGCATATATTACAAACACCCTTTTGTATGGCGTGGATGTCAAATCTGCTGCTTTCATATTTTGATTTGATACCTCTGACTGACCAATCAGAATCGAGTTATTTCCACATTCATTTTAGAATTGTATTTTACTTTGACCCAGATTTGTCAGTTGAGGGTTTCAAATTACCTTGCTCTGTTTAAAACAATGATTGCAAAAGGATAAAGTCCATATCGTTTTACATCATCTGTATGGCTTCGACATCGATGATCAATGACATACAAACAGTTAAACAGACAAGTGATACACTTGGTATGCCAAATCCTTCCAGGGCACCAATCATCATGATCTGACACTTTGTTTATTGTTCAGAGTCTATAAAGATGTCAAGATTGAGGTAAAGGTAATTCGAGATGATACTTGGATGATATTTAAATACCTCATATTGAAAATGAGCTGGAAGAAAGAAGGAGTATTTCAGCTGATTAATCCGAGTCCGGAATGTTTCCATCCCTCTTAAGGTGAGGTGAGGTGAAATTGGGTTTAACGTCGCGCTGGAGAATATTTCGCTCATATGACGACGTGCATGCGTGTGTATGTGTAGGTGCGGCTACTTGTACTAGCCCAGACTTAAGCTGGTTTTATAGTGCTAGCCCACTGAGATACCAAGCCGCAGTGAAGCATGAATACCCCACTCAGACACATTATACTGACTCCGAGCCGACCAGTCCTTGTTGTACGGATCGGATCCAGAAGGGGTGGGGGGTTGCGGGGTTGCACCCCTTTTTAAATGTGCTGAAAGTTTGTTAAATGACCATTGAAACTCGGGTGAAAATGAAGTGTGCACCCCTCCTTTTCTCAATAGTGTGTCTCGCATATATACCACACATGTCACCGCCAGAGTTTGTGTCACTGGATGTGAAACTTGGTAAGAAACATGAAACATGTAATTATATAACTATATGTCAGATAATTAAAGTTGAAGAATTTTTACACAAAACATTCGAGCGTGAATCATATTTAATCCTTCACTTTGTTAACATTTGAAGATGAATCTGGAATAATTCTGTTTCATTTGAGATATGTAAGTTCCAAATACATGTATTGGCTTTCTTCTAGAATTATACAATATAGAAAAAGGATAAAATAAACAGAATAAAATACACTATACAGATAGCAGCTGAATGTAAAAACAAGAATTCATTTTCATTTTTTTCAAGCATATACAGATAAATACATGTAACTAAGGACATGGAAGCTATGTCCAACGCAGTATAAAATAAAATAATCTGTAATCTTCCTTACTAAACAACTTGAAAGAGTTATAGAGTCGAAGGGTTAGAATTGGTCCTCGTCAAAGAATGTTTGTTCTAAAGTGTCGATTTATTGGATCGATTGGTCAGGCTTGGTGATTTGGTTGTGATCAAGCGTGTCTTCATATACTACTCATATTTGCTAAGGGTGAAGTTTTGATAATACCAAAATCATCCAACAATTTAAATGTCCCGGTTTACAATGGATGCGTAGCCCCTAAAGAGCCTCAAGATGCATGCAGGCAAAGGTCACTGCTTGCATGGAGTGGCCACCCCACTGGCCAGACCTCAGCCCTATCTTATGCAGTTCGCTCGTCACGCCGAAGACCCGGGTTCGATTCCCCACATGGGTACAATTTGGAAAGCCCATTTCTGGTGTCCTCCGCCGTGATATTAATGGAATATTGCTAAAAGCGGTGTAAAAATAAACTCACTCATTCACTCACCTATCCCATACATGCGAAACGAACTGCTGACGCAAGACGACCTGTCCTTCCGGCAACTCTACAGAAACTCGGCAAGGCTCTTACTGAAGAGGAGGATGATCTTTCCTTGGAACCCATGCAGATACTTATTGGGAGGATGGTTACTATGACACGATGTTAGGCTGTGTTCCCATCATGTGGACCACATACGTACTACTGAGAGTTGGGTTTCTTAACACTGAATATATTTTAGTGATTATTTTACCTTTCAGTTTGGTCGGATACACGTACTTTGACGTATGACTTGTCTGATTGTTACAACAGATGTACACCGGTCTGTCTGGTCAAGCCTCCATTAGTTTAATGCCACAGGCTTAGAGCAAAATATTAGTGCGTTCGCAAATCGGAAATGAAAATATATGTTGAACATTTCAATGCAAAGACAGACGATGAACATATCACGTAACGCTTATCTATCAAACGCACATGGATAGCACTTTTTTCTGTAGTAGATGCATCTAATTAATATAAAAATACTAAGCAGCAAAAGAAACGTCAGTTTGGAATTTTCCTTGGCAGAAACGGATACATGTAAACTCATTCAATGTTTTGATTGTATATTTTTGACAACATCTCCAAATTTACCTGAGCAAAGACATCCCTTCCCAAACTCAGAATGGAACCCAGGAAAAGGTCTCAAAAACGCAATCTGATCTCGGAGATGGTACGGTGTTCTCCATGTTTGTCATTCAACTCATGCTCCACGTGCTGTTCACAAGGACCAGCCCTATAAAATGCACCCCCAAACCTGGTTGAAACATTCACATTACAACGTCAGCAGGATGCCCCGAGTCACGACAGCTCAGAGGAACAAGGCGCTAGGAAGACTTGAAACTGGCCACACTGCATAAGCCGTTCCCAATCACTTTTCAGGTCAACGTTCGGTCCATCTACAGGTTGCAGCAACGTTTCCGGGCCACCAACACCAAAAATGATCGCCCCTGTACTGGCAGACCAAAGGTGACCACAAGACGACAAGACCGCCATGTTGTGCGACAGCATGTACAGCATCTCATCGTGCAGGCATCCAAAACATCACGCCAGACAGTGGAAACACACGGAAGACCAATCAGTACTGATACAGTACGCCGACGTCTTAACAGCGGGAACCTCCATTGCCGTAGACCTTACCGTGGACCTATCCTCACCCCTCGTCATCGGCGGGAACGTCTACAGTTTGCCCTACAACACCAAAACTGGCGATACAGGCAATGGAGAACTGTTCTGTTCACAGATGAGAGTCGGTACTGCGTATGAACTGCAGATGCCAGAACAAGAATATGGCGACGACGTGGCCAGCATTACTCAGACCAATGTGTTGTGGAAAGAGACTCAGGGGGAGGTGCAAGCATTATGGTATGGGGTGGAATAGGCCTGAACCAGAGAGTGAGTCCTGTGGTGTTCTAGAAACTAGGTCCAGGGAGAGGAGGCGGCATCACAGCGGTGCGCTACATCGACCAAGCTCTCAGACCCCACGTCATACCACATTTCGCACGTCACCGGAACAACATTTTCCAGCATGATAACGCCCGGACCCATACTGCCAGAGCTGCACGGGACTTCCTACAGCAGAATGGTGTCAACATTATGCAGTGGCCAGCCCTTAGTCCAGATTTAAACCCAATTGAACATCTTTTGGATGAAATTCAGAGGAGACTGAATAATGTCATACCACGGCCGAACACAGCCGATTTATTGCGCCAGGCCTTTATCAGAGTGTGGTTCCAGGTGCCAATGGCCTTCATCAATTGATTGGTGCACTCCATGCATCGACGCTTTGCTGCAGTTATTGCCGCTCGTGCCGTGGTGGTCACACTAGATACTGAAGTCAAAGGTCTGAATGGACTGCAAACGTTCACGTAATGTCTTGAAATTGTGCTGAGTTATTCATTGATGTGTCAAGATATTGTTCACAAATGTTTCTGATCCGCTTATTATGTCCATTTCTGTAATGATTTGATTACAGTGCCTATCTAATTTTGAATTCGTACTGACGTTTTGTTTTGCTGCTGAGTATATATATGCCCTTGTCAGGTGAAAAAACAGATTCTAGACACAGCATCTCGAAACAAACACTATTTGGAACATTACGCCGTGACAAAAGACGAGATGCATCTCTGATCTACCACCAGTGTTTTTCAGCTTAATTTTGCTGGGAGCATGGATACTAAGCAGGATTTTACTTTCGCTTCAGCTTGGTTGCTATCTGCCACACATCTGAAGGATGATTTATAGGTACAAATCACGATTTAATCACGTTGTGTACAGGTTTACTCCCCACCACCATGACTGTAGTGACGAGATTAAAACATTCCTGTTTGTTGCTGTTCATACGTACCATGAAGAGTTTCGATACATACTCCAAGGCAAGGGTGTGTTTTCGTACACATCTTAATTGATAACTGACGTTACTAAGAAATATCGCCACTATTGCTTTTACGATTTGATCATTATTCTAACAGCAAGCGGGTTGTTTGATACCGTTTTTATGTATACATGTATATTTAAAGATCAAAGGGAACGTCACGCGTCCAATTTCCTCAATGTAACCATTTGTTAATTTGTATTGATCGATGAGAAGCTACAACGTGGACAGAATTTGAATGATCAATTTTGTTGTGTAAAACGACTTCGAAGACTAAACAAATTGTGAAAAGTATGTAGGAAAGACATAATGTTTCTCCCTTAGCCCATAACGACTCCACTGAAATATTCATTTCCCGAAAGAATAACAAAAAAAGGAGGACACGCTTTTCCCTTTGAGTATGTTTGGCTGTGGTTAACGTCAGGGTAAATGCATATTATCAGCACATAAAAGTTCTGGGATATTGTTTGGAAGGCCCGCTTCACCTCGCATTGTTCTCAACACCCGTTCTTGTATATGCTAATAGTATGCTACCACCCATCCTCTTTCTGTTATTCATGCATTTCCACATTCCTTGTTGAAGTACAGGGTAAACTTGTGGTTCGAAGTCGAATAGTTCTCTTGGCAAGTGTATCCTGCAGTGAGTCGGACATTTGTCATGGGAGATCCTCCGGTAGACAGTCGGATGACGTAGAAATGCGGCCCTGCTCCGCTTACGTCATACGTGACACGATTAGCGCTCTGAACCATTGGAACAGTGGAGTCATTGATCAGCTTCCAAGACTCACTGAAAACTGTGATGGTGATGTCATCTCCGCCGTCACTTGCGGCCTCGATCAGGATCTCCTTACTCCAGTCTGGCAGATCTATACCAAACGCGGGACTGGATGCGTTTGAGACGGTGATGTCGTCTTTAGTCCGGTTGAGCCTCAGGTGGAGCAGGTGGTCCTCCACGTCACAAACGTCAATCCCTACCTCTCTGAATGCTCTGGCAAAAGGTTCTCCTGGCTGTCCCATGTCATAGGCTGCCTGCATGACATCACACGCTCCGTTGATGAAGTTGGTCAGGGGCTGCCAGTAAATCTTATTGGCATGGAGGAACACCCGGAAGACTTCTATAGGATTCAGGCCATATTCGTGCGCTAGGAGGTAGAACACCTTATTGTATATACCGCTCGTCGTGTGAGGAGACATTCTGTCCGAATATTTATCCATGTGGGAAATCGATCTTCCATCCTTCTCGGGGTTGGCAAAGAACCGCATGGGTCGTCTGTACATGATGTCGGCACCAACCTGCCAGTCAGTTGCGTTGGTGAACAGCTCTGCCATTTCACCCGCCATGTCCGAAAAGGCCTCGTTGAGTCCTCCTGACTGTCCAATGTAGATGAGGCCAGAGTGTTGTTCGGTGAAACCATGGGCTATTTCATGGGCAGCAATATCAAGGGAAACCAATGGATAGATAAATCGCCTCCTGCCATCTCCAAACGAAACATTGTGGCCGTTCCAGAAAGCATTCATGACGTTTCGTGAAAAATGAACCCTGAGTGTGAGTCCTCCTCTGATTGGTTCTGTGTCGTACCACTCCTTGAACATTTTGACAATTTGAGTGCCATAGTACAGAGCATCTACAGAAGGTGAATATGCGCCATTTATACTGTCATTAAGATTCCCAGCGCAATCAAAATGAGCCACCCCAATTGATCTCTCTATGGCCGAGTTGTTCATATCCACAACTTTCACATGTTCATTTTCCAAATAGCATATGCCATTCTCTTGTCTCAACTCCAAGCATCTATGTGTGCCGTCATAATGGATGATGCCGATTTTCTTATTTCCACCGATCATGTCTTCCTCATTCCCATCAAAACAAGTCTCCATTGCGTCATAATAGGACATAACCTCCCCAGTCCTCGTGTTGACAAAACCCCTAGGACGTTTCACAACATCATCGGTCTCAATTAAATACTCAACTACAGCAACAGGATGAGACACTTCATTTTCATCTACGTATACTTCATACGCAATACTTCTGCCTTTTATATCCCCAACCCTACTTTCGTCACCAGCATAAGCAATCAACTGATCAAACAGCTGGGCTTCAGTGAAATTCCTGTAGGTTCGTTAAAGTCTTCTTGAATGTTCCTGACATAGTCTCCGGTAGCATCAACTACAATCCCAGACTCTTCCGTCATGGTCAGTGTCACCGATGCACCAAACACTTCTTGACCGTGGTACTTTTCTTTCATTTTGACCTGTCGTGTTCCTTGCACCGTGTTGGCTTCTTCTGTGTCCTCGAACGATTCTCCTTCAGCTAGCTGGAACACCTCCCTCGTTTCCCGTCTCCTGACTGTCTCTGTGTCCCGGGTTGACCGCCTCCTGGTGTACCCTGGCACAACGTCAGGGAGGCCATCGAGAAGTACCTGCCTTGCACTGACCCGTTTGGCCGCTTCTATGTGAGAGGCACATATCGACAACAACACTGGAAGTAAACAAGAGATGTTTGAATCAAGTATAGAGGAAAATAAACACATCTGACATTATTAATGAAGGTCAAGCTTTGACAGGGATCTCCTATTTGGCCTACGCCATCTGCATAACTTAAGAAGGAAACATTGACATATTACTTTTATAATATAATAAAATGTATTCGTAGATGCATATCAAAATCAAATGAGGTTCTGTGCACACAACAGCGAATGGGAAGCTGATATAATTACAAATGGTAATGGGACAGTTAACCTCCTGTTGCCTGGGAATTGAGTTTGTTTGTTGTTGAAGGTTTCAAGAATATTCCTGCTATGTGGTGGTTGTCTGCAAATATTCCAGTATGAACCATACAATCCAGTGATTAACAACAAACATCGATCAAAGCAAATGATACGATGGCATGCATCACCCAAGTCAGCGAGCCTGACCACCTCCGATCCCGTTAGTCGCTTCTTACCACAAGCATGGGTTGCTAAAGACCAATTCTAACTTATGGGACTATTATCATATGTCTTTAGGCAGACCCTGTCAAAGCACCCTTCGGGTTAGAATATTGATCTTCAGTAACCCATGCTTGTCGTAAGAGGCGGATAACGGGATCGGTGGTCAGGCTCGCTGACTTGGTTGACACATGTCATTGTATCCCAATTGCGTAGAACGATGCTCATGCTGTTGATCACTTGATTGTCTGGTCCCAGACACGATTACTTACAGACCGCCGTCATATAGCTGGAATATTGCTGAGTGAGGCGTAAATTTAAACTCACTCACTCAAAGCACCCTTAGTGCATACTTATACCATGGTGGTCTGTAAATATTCGATTCTGTACGAGGCAAACCAGCGGTTGACAGCACGAGATTTGCCCGACGCACAGTCAGCCAGGGCGAGTATTTGTTACCCCACATCCCATCTTTGTGTGAATTCCTGGGTAAGATTGGTCTCATCAACAAGAGAGACGACCAAATAACGGTAATGCTCGGTGACTTGGTTGACAGCGTGTCATCGTTCACCACTAGCGTGGGTTGTTGCTCACAGTACCAACCACTGTGTTTTATGGCTCAATCCAGGCCCCGATTTCTCGAAACAAACTTAAGTCTGAGTTTTGACTTAAGTTCAAATTTTTACTCAAATTTGAGAAAACGCATTTCCCATTGTTGAACTGAAAGCGATATTAAACTCAAACACAGTAGACAATTTGAGTTCGGTGAATAGAATACTTAAGTTGTTTGGGCTTTTTTATTTTAAAAATGCAGCTGTTTCAAATTGTCAAACTCAGTTTGATATTTGAGTACAAACTTAAGTTTGTTTCGAGAAATCGGGGCCTGACCATGTGCACTCCATCATCAAGTGGAGGAATATAATTACAATTGTACCTCTTTTCGACTCTTTCCACAAACTTTTCTGGCATGTCATCCCAACGGTATTATAAAGAACTAAGCTTAAAAACCAAATTCTGATTGTATTTATTCATGTGCAATGTTACGAGAGTAACATCCATTTACAGCCTACCCTACGAGAACAGAAGCTCTTCAGCGACAGTCAACGCAATTAAGACCACAAGGGGGTTCAGCGGGATATGAAACATTTTATGAACAAACCATCACCTAAATATCCTCAGCGTTCATTCCAATTTTGCCTGTTAATTCAAACATTGTGACATAACAACACAAGTAGCCTTTAAACCAAGATGTTAAATACGATTTATCCACGCGCCGTCACATACCAGAGTGAACAGATAGCAAAATCGCTAGAAATTATCTTGATAGCTCGGTGGAGGTAACGATCCACACCTATAATCCCTACTGCAGCCAGTCTGTGTAAGCAATCTGTTAACATAGCAGACTTCGTGGCATGGGCGCAGATTCTATGCCAATATATAAACCCCTTGATTAAAAGGTTGGAAGTGTTGTCAAAACACAACCTAGGGCTAAAGATATTACATGTCGTTCAATCACCGTTACAGATCAAATTAGGATGCTGGTAATAGCTTTATAACCACAAAACTTCATTTCAGACTAGCAAATTGGGGACAAACTTAAAATCGATTGAACAAACACTACTGCTCTCTGTATATTTATCGTCTTAAGCCGTCTCTAAGAAGACAAAATCGATAAAATAAGTGCCCATTCACGACATCTCCGATAATGAATTTTCACAGTCCGTCTACATTGATACACACGGCAGGCAATTAAGTCGGAAATGGTATGAGATATGAAGTAAATTGTAGATTGAGGTTCCGAAGATTGTGTTAGGTGTTACCTGAACTGTTTGAGTTAAGCGTCGTGCTCGAGCTCTATCAGGTGTTATTTTTTTGTATGTTCATTTTGAAGCTAGATTGGCGTTGAAATTGTTAATTTGACAAGAATCATGTGAGACATAGATGCAGAAACACGATCAAATTGATGTGCGTGCAATTCTTAGCATTTGGAAGTAAAGCTTTGCAGAATCGTCGTGAACACCGCGGCTTGGTGAACCAACGCTTAGTCTATAAAATGCACAATTTTGATGGAAACATGCAGCTACATTTAAAAGCAAAAAGTAAGATTTCAAATTCAGACAGTTGAACCTGTGGAAGATCTTGCTTCTTAACTTCATTGAGGGCTTGAGGTTTACAACTGAACGAAAGAGAAATAATGTGGTGCAAAGAATGTGTGACTAGCGGTTTGTGAAATAAAGGTGTAGCAAGTCTCAATCAACAACATGTGAGTCTATCTCTCTGCATAGGCGGATCCAGCCGGGGGTGGGGTGGGGTGTTCATGGGTGGCCCCCCCTCCTGATAGTTTATTAAATGACCATTGAAAGTGAGTGCAAATGAGCTGTGCTCTCCCTCCCCCCTTTCTCAAAAAGCTGTATCCGCCCCTGGTGTGTGTGTGCGCGTGTGCGTGTGCGTGTGCATGTATGTATCAAGATCTACATGTACACATATATTCGTCCAAGCGATTGCACCTTCCGTCCCTACAGTTATTATCATATAAAGGGATTTTGTTTCAGCGAGAGGCTGTGTAAATTGTAAGCGTTCGCCTTTCAGTCAAATGATGTTTATGCTTTGCCGTTTTCTCTATATTGTGAAAAAGATAAATGCAATTCATTTGCGACTGTAAGATTTTCAGCTCATGTATATCTAAGAAGGAAATATTTCACTCAGAAATCCGTTGCCAGATTTCTATACACGATGTAGAAGAAAACATCAATGTTTACATATCCCGTAAGATTATTACACTTGTATTGTACACTTTTTGACTGCGTCGATGCGGAAGATACTGAGGTTTATTTCAAAAACTGAAAAAAACACCCTTTTTAACACAAACGTGAGCTCTGAGAGTTTTCTGAATAACGCACCATCCGGATTTGTCAAAATAGAAGAATTTCTCGCAGGAGATATCAGAGAATTTCGTCAATGCACATTTGTACAGGATTTGGTGTGAAAGCATTTCCACCGAAACCGCAAAACCGGCTTTCACTATGACTCAGTTTCTCAACTGAGCTTATCGATTGCATATACCGATGTATTTCGCCTGACGTTCAGTTAGATTCCAATGTCCCTGTGAAACGAACCACACACTGAAACATGTTTTTTGTCTTTAGTATATACCAAAGTAGAGACGCCATGGACTTTCTTTTTAGAAAAAATGATTTTTTTAAATTGGGAAATTCCGATATTTTCTATTGGAACAACTTAATATCCCATCAAACGAAGACATATCTAATTAGATGTTATTGATTTCAGATTAAATGTGTATTTTTGTCATTCTACTCGGCCCGAGTAGACAGATTACTTGGTCATAGACAGTCAATTGTAAGCAGATTAGGTTTTCACAAAGTAGAGCACGGTAACGGATTCTTATGTCCCCATAGTTTCGACTTTAGAATACATTTTCATGCTTGTGATATGTTTCCCGAATTTAGGAAATATACTCCATATAATGTATGTTGCATTACAGTGAGTGAGGGAGTCAGGTTCATCAGCTTTGAGCCCTTTTTCAGTTCTATCACGGCGTTATGCTGGAACTGCTTCATCACTCGTGCACCATTTTGGGCACTACAACGTTGTTGTCTTAACTATTTCGGGTCGGGATAGCCCAGTGGTTAAAGAGTTCCTCGTCACGGCGAAGACCCGGGTTCGATTCCCCACATGGGTACAATGTGTGAAGCATATTCCTGGTGTCCCCCACCGTGATATTGCTGGAATAATACCGAAAGCGGCGTAAAACTAAACTCACTCACTTAACTATTTTATGTGTGGGTTTGCAATATTCCAGATACATCACGGCGACATAATTATACCGAGTCAAGGCCAGGAAGATCCGTGGTTGATATGAACAACGATTCAAGACGTCGTGCTCGATGGCAAACAGTCATCCAGGAATGACATTGTAGTTGCCCCTGGCCCCAGCACCGGGAGCGAATTTCCCCATGTGGTGTCACAAAAAGCTGACACAATATTCAGACATAGACGGTGATTCCAATCCTCTGTTCCTGTAACATATCTACTGTCAAAGTAAGCAACTTACTTTTTTAATGAGAAGGTCAAAGTCATAAGGAGGGACACAAGTAACCTATGTACGGAAATCATGTGTACGAGTTTTCAGAAGTCAATCGCCCGATGTCCTGTACAGTGTTTTTGGCGTACCATGTGACGGTTGATATTCTGTATAATAATGACGACAACGGATCCAGTAGTAGATCCCCATATGTAATGATATGTCAGTAATGTAGCTGCCAGTAATTTAGATTTCAGGAATAGGAATATCCAGGTATCAGTCTTTCAGTTTTACTTGGTTGTCATAACGCATGAGGAACGTATTTCAAATTCAGTAATTTATCCAGTGATTATTTTGAAGGTTTTCTAAAAATAGTGGTCCATTGTGGAGGGCCGTAGACAATATTGGAACATATTGGAGCACCGTAGACAATAGTGGTGCATATTGGACCACCTAAACACCAGTGGTGTATAGTGGAGCGCCGTGGACAATAGTGGTGTGTAGTGGAGC